GTTTATGTCACAGCGTCCTCTAGCATCGTTTCGACAGCTTGCATGGCAGAGTTGCCGTCCGAACTGCTGATGCGAAAGCAAAACTGCCGCGCGTGTTTTTTTCTGCATCAGCGTATCGATCCTTTCACGCTGATTTTCTTCATTTAATTTTCGTCTCCACAATAAATTTTATGAAACAACTTTAACTGATAATCGTATTTCACTTTCTTCACCGAGGTTAAACCATAGGCTTGTTTTCTTGTGTTAATGATCACTAGATTACTCGATGTAGCACTTTATTAAATGGCCTATATTTTCCGTTGTGCTGCGCTCCTCATCGTAGTAAACTAGTAGTACGAATTTATTTCGTTGTATCAGAAAATACAGGAAAGCTATATCAAATGATCAAAGTCACAATATTGTTTTATTTGCTTAAAGAGTCGAATTCATACTTCTCATGAACAGGTTCTATGTATTGACAATTTATTGATGCCCGGTTAGGATTCTCAGATATAACACAACGATGGAAATGTTCAATTTGCGGTTAACGCAATTCTTTGCCGATTCCAATGGCTTCATCAAGAATGAATGAAACAGAGTCAGCGTCGTGAAAAATGTTATGAAGTTATTAATAAATTCTTCGCAGTATCAATGTTAGGTTAACAGATTACATAACTAACTGCACGAAGCAGTGGTTTATATAAAAGAATGAAGAATATTCGAGGCACAGTAACCTTAGACCTGGCGTAAGGCAAAGGCGTACCTTCGCCTTACGCCAAATTAAGTTGTTCAGATGCCAGTTGAGAAATCGTGGGAGTTGGCTCATGCGGTTTACTTGTGCTCTGTGAATCTGAAGGAAGCCTATGATCGAATCCCGCGTAGCAAGCGTGCTTCGAAACATACAGGATCGATGGCTAGTTGAGTCAGCTAGTCACTGTCTAGCGAGTCATCCAGTCACTGTATGTTGATAGTAGGTGCTGCATCTGAATAAATGGTGCTCTATCGAGATCTTTTAGCGTGGGCACTGGTCTCTGCCAAGACTGCGTTATATCCTCTATCTTGTTTGCGCTGTGCATGGATCGAAGAGTCAGGAGCAGCTAAGGCGAGGAGCTATCAGCGTAGGAGATGTCGAGACGAGGAGGATGCTGTTTCCAGACGACGTTGTATTGTTGGCGTCTTCTGAAACTTGTTTACAGTGCTCTCTGGAAAGGTTTGCAGTCGATTGCGACGTGACCAGCATGCGTGTGAACGCATCTAAAACGAATAGCCTAGTGCTTTCTTCTTCTCCTGCCCGTTGCTCTCTTCAGATTAACGGAGAGACAGTGGAGCACGTGGAGAAGTTCAAGTACCTCAGAGTCGTGTCCACTAGTGATGGAAAATTTGAGGAAAAGATCTATCGGCGAATTGGAGTAACCAGTGGTGTTCTGCATGTACTAGCCCGTACCATTGCGACTAAAGCAGAACTCAGTTTGAAAACTAAGCTCTCGGTGTGCTCAAGTCGACCTTTATCCCCATGCTTACCTACAGTCATCAGTCATGGGTACAAACGGCTGAATTAGGCTTTCTTTAGGGATCGCTGGACTTACGCGTCTGGACATGGTTCAGAATGGAGAAATCCGGAAGAGCCTTGGGGTACAGCCGCTGCTTCTTCAGATTGAGAAGTCACAATTGCGATGATTTGGGCACTTGTTGCGAATATTTCCAGAAAGAAAACAATACAGGTTCTACTGGCGTAGCCGACCGACGGAGGACGCTGCGGCCAAAAATGATCTGGTTCAAGTTTCTCGATGCAGTCTGTTACAGACTGGGGTTACCTTCTGCCGAAGCTCACATGCTGGCACGGGATCAGGAAAGGTGAAGACACTTTCGGAGGTGTCTGCCTCCGCGAACCGAAGAGATAGACGGTCATCGCAACTGACTTACTGACAATAACTATTGCTTTTCGCGTGCACTTTTCGTGTAGAAGATTGCTTTATTATTTACCGTAGCCCGTAGTCATCCTTACAGTAGGACTTAATGCCTGAGCACTGAGACTGACTTTGCGCATTTCGGAAAATAATCTTTAAATCTGGTGCGAAGCCGTCTGAAGGTCTTGCATATATGAGTTCCATCGCAATCGATACAGTTTATTTTACTGACTACGTTGAATTTCTGTTGTGTGCGAGTCTCATTAGTTTGACCGTTTGCATAAACAGAACCTATCTGGTAATGATATTGGTGAATTTTCAGCTTTTTGAATGCTTTCTCTCTAAGGCACCGGCTAGTGCATTGTAGAAGTGAGGAGCAGTACACCGTTTAGCAATGTTTGTTTATAAAGTTTTTGAGAAAGGACTTGTGGAGAGGCCTAATTCACAACGCAAAGTCTTCTCCGGTGCTGCTGTTGCAGCTGGGTGAGAAAGCATGTTCTTCATGAAGTGGTGGACTACATTCTTTGACAGGTGGAGCGCAAAATTTCAGGTGAAGACGATCACACCTGTTGGAGTGAGTTGGCTTAGGATAGATAGCAAATTTAGACTTCCGGTGGCTCTTCTCATCACCATGGCACATACGAAACGACAGAACAGATAAAGAAGCAGTCGGCGACCGTTGTATTGTCAATTCCTTTTACACGTTCACGAAGCAGATGGTGCTGCGCTGGTTTCCGTTGCTAAACCATCAGCAGTACTGGCATGTTGTTTGTGCTTTGAGCTATATCTGTATCTGAATTGTGATCCCTTTTGCGTGCGATCTTACAATCTCCTGTTTCCTTTCACAAAGTGATGATTATTTATCTACGTCGCTGAGAGCATCAGGCAATGAACGGAGGGCAGCGGGGTTACGAGATGTTGTATCTGCGTTACTGACTCATCAAATGCTTTTGTGGCAATCAACTCGGGGGTCAGCAACTAACGTGAACCAACGTGAAAGACAGCATTCAGGGATTATGGAAAAGTGACAGAAATCATACTAATTTGTCGAGCGAACATCATCAATCTAAGCACTGCAGTCCTTGGTGCAAAGAGAAAATGACGATTACTACCCTCGCGCCGCACACGCAGACATACAAGAAGGCGACCTCTGCAACTGCTTACAAGCAAAGCAAAGTATGTACTGTCCTGTGCGTTTTCTAGACATATTTTCATTCATCAGTCGACCTGAGAAAGATGCTACCACGATGCCTTGATGATCCCAGAAATGAAATGAACCATTTAAGACGTCTAGGCACCCTGTCAGATCTCACGCTGAAATCCTCTCTGGATCTACAGTACAACGAACAAATGCTAGAAAAAATAGCTGATACTGGTGGAAGACATTGATGTGATCGAGAGACGCGGAAACCAACAATCCAGAGATCATTGAAACCTGCAAAACCAGTGAAAGTGACACCCGTAACTGTAAAAGCGACCGTCATTTACACGCTGTTTGTTTTACGTTCTAAATCCCCGATCCCTTTACAACATCTGACGCTGTGAGCAGCTACATCGTTAATATCTTCATCTTCCATCGCCGCTTCTCCTTTCGGGTCGCGGAGACATCGTTCATACATGCACGTTTTTATTTACGACGGTGGCTCACGCACAAGCGACCACTGTTTGGACTGTAGATCCGGTATTGCTGTATCTGCCTGCTTGTTCACCGCCGTTACTCTGCATGCGCCATACCTTCTTTTCATTCATTGTAAGCATCTGTTGTCAAATACTCAT